GTCCGCCGCACTCCCAATTGTTTGTTTATTTGCTTGTTTGCCTTTGCCCGTTCACACCGCAGCAAATCGAAACGAATCGATGGGAATGAAAAGGAAGGGAAAGGAGAGGAAAGGAAAGGAAAGAACATCGACAACGAAGGACGCGGTGGACGCGGTGGACACGGTAGGGCACTCACTCGCTTTTGCCTTCAATGTTGGACATTTAACTTGTCCGTTAACGGGAACACTTTGGTGCAATACATGCATGGGGGAAATCAAAATGCAGAAAAAGGTGTTTACCCATAATAACATACACGTACATGTGTAGGTACTATATATGGAATAATAGGTACATATTGTTAAATTACAATAAGTAAGAGCGCTCTTACAGTATTTTTGTTCGGTAAATTGAAGTGTCCGTCTAAAACATATGACAAGAATTATAAATACAAAGTATAGAGCACTTTATCGATACACTTATTGAACAGAAATCGGTATTTCCCAATACATATAAAGTGGGAATGTTCTTTGTGTGCTATTCCTTAATTGCAACACATTTTTAGTCAGTTGTTTTCAAAAATTCAGCATCATTCTTGAGTTGTATTATGTAGAACTTTCATACGCTTACTATAAACGGAGATTCACAAATAGCTAAATGTTGGGAAAACAAGCGCCAGTCGATACAGTCGATAATTGTACTGGCATGGCACATTATTTAAATTTGTGTGAACGGCAATGACAAATCCATGGATGAGCATGTCATTCTAGTGCTAGTGGCACAAAGTAATGCGATTCAATCAGTTTTCAATTACCCGCTGCATTTCTGTAACAGTAATCGAATTATGTCCAACATTCTCCTTGTAGCCCCACCTTTGTCCGAATAGGATTATGCACTGACAAAGCCCTCCCGAGGGGTCCCCAGGCAATAAACCTTATTTACGAGTAGTAGAAATCGCCCGCTGTGCGAAAAGTCAGCGGTTGGCGAGGGCACACAACCCTTCACCCCTTAATGGGGTCTCTGGACATGCCAGCAGGCGTTAGCCCTTTTGGAACATTCTGCACCCCATTCCCCCCCCGCTACTTGCTTTTTGTCAGTATCTCTCCCTTTCGCACCCATTGGCACGCACTGTTAACCGCAGCCGTAAGCAGAGATGGCAGCAGCAGCGGCGACTGCAGCTGCAGTTCCAGTTGCAGCTAATGAAACCCGTCTCTCCAACGGGGGGGACTGTGGACCGCAGAAAGACGTGTTTAAATTTAGTTTTCGTTAATTTTCGTTTGTTGTCTTTTGTTGTCCAGCTCTTGCTCCTCCGACTATCATCAGCAGCCACTGATAAGAGAAGCTGTCCCTTCCGCTGTGCCTGTGCCCTTGTCTCCTCTGTGCCCCTGTTGTTGCGGTCGGTCGTCAATTTGTAACGAAACATATGTTTGCCCTAAGTGACAGCCGCACTCACGCAGCGTTGTTGTCCGCTGATAAAAAACAAAGTAAGAGGAAACACGAGAGAAAGGCTCGAATCGAGTTTAAACGATTCAGATACCCTTGCAGATTCAATGCTCCTATACTCCTATACTTGATCAGTTTTAATGAATCATAATTCATAATTATCTACAGAAGTTCTCAGCCTCGATGAATAGAATAGAATGGAATAAAGAAATACCTTGACTAGGCTGTTAATGATACCTGATGCTTCCATTTTTGCGTGGCCGACATATGTATAATTATGCATAGCCCCTCTCAAAGGGTATACTTACACCGCGAAGAGTGCAGTAGATAGGGCAAGGGAAGAGCAACCACTGAGTCAGAGAACGGTCAATGTCCGGTTAGCCTGGGCGCCCCATATTGATATTGATATTGGTTCGGTTCGGTATGGTTCGTTTGGGTACGGTCGGTCACTTTAGCAAGTTGTCATACTTATCTCTAGCTATGTTTATTTGACTGTATTTCTCTATACCCTGTACTGGGGGACACAGGGGTATATTAGTGCAGGTTTACACTGTAAAGTAATACAGTCATTTTCTGCCCCCGGCCCCCCGCGGCCCAAAAATCTGCCAGAATCCTTGAAATGGGATTTGAGTCTTTTGCTTCTACATTTGTTTTTGGGCATTTCTCTGAAGTCGAATGTTCAAAATTAGACGGATTTTCAAAATTGTTTTACCTTTATGACACACCTTTTGACTAACCTTATAGCTGCTACTACGGTCGATTTTGGTGAGCTATTCGTTTTCGAGATTTGTTCAAAAAACAAAGACATTCGCAGGGGACAAATAAGGAAGTGATTTTGGCGGCAGTCCATTCAAATTCAAATTTCAGCTAAAGTTGGGGCAATATATTGATGCAAATTTCTGTTCATGTTGTGCATTGATGTCTCTTTGAAATGGTTATTGTTGTTGTTGAATATAATTAAAACCATATTCGCACGGGACAATAAATCCTTAGCCGAGATTTTACCATTTTTCTCGTATTTTTGTTAGATAGTTGAATATGTAAGAAAGATTTGGTGGAATAACTTTTTGCTAGAATAATCTTTTTTATAAGAGATAATAGTAATAGAAAACATGGCTAAAAGCAAAAAAATAAAAACAAAAAAATTAATTAATACATTGTGAACTTTTGCTGATTTGAATATGTTTTCACATCAAAGTTAATGAAATGACTTTTCAATTGGGTACATCAGTTGTCGTTTATTAAATTAAGACTATAAATCGGAACAGAATTATATGAAAAGGTGTTTTTATAGACATTGCATTTTTTGGTCTCGGTACACCTCATCATCGGTACATAAATAAAATATAAAAGCATACACTATGAGCGCAGAATAAACTTAATCTGATTAGTGGGTATCTAATAGTCGTATCGCGCGAGAGTAGGCGCAATTTCATTTCTCGTGTGTGGTTATGTGCGTAGCTGTTCACATATTTACCTTAGTACTCCGCTTAATGCCGATGCACGTTGTTCGCATATCATATCTATTTCCACATATTTTCGACGACCCTTCTTCACCTTTATCTTCGCTCTTCTTGTTTACCTTGTGCATTAACGCATATCACATTTTATTTTTATTTCTCTGTTCCCTCTCCATCACTCTATTGGATTTTCTTCCCTTTTTTTTGCATTACACTTTTGCGGTTAATTAAACCTTGCGGTCGCTTATTTTATGTAAATAAATGATACAAAAAAAACGTTTACGGATGCGTTCGTATGTACATTTGTATATACATACAAATATACAATCTTACATAGAAAAAAATTAAAAATGAACGCTATTTTTTTACCAATACTGCCTGAAGTACCTACAAGAGCTTTTGCAATTAACTCTCTGTAGAAACTGTAGGTTATCCTTGATACAACGAGTACAACAACTTCGAGTATTATGTCAAACAAGCGCTTAAGAATAAGGGAGGTACTACGCTAATGACTCGATAGAAACACAAACTATTCTGGGGAATGCAATACATATACCCATTTTACTGTTCAAGTGTAGGGTATATTAATGGTTCGTGACCAGCTGCATCCAAATGTAATTGTCAGGGTCCTACATGTTTGTTTGTGCACGTTCATTTGTGGTTCAATTTGTTAGTTAATTTGTATTTGCTTATGGCTAACGAACTGAGCAAACGATGCCATTGTTACAGATCATATAAATATTTAAAAAGTCACCAAAATGCAATGCATTTGTTATTCCATCTGTTGGTGCTCGACAAATAACCAAAAACAAACATTTTGATTTTCAAAATTGAGCGGTAAGTATGAACGGCGAAAATCAGTGTTGGCTAGCAGTGAAATTTTTAAAATTTCATGTAAAAACCATGTAGATATGCAATTTTAGGCTATAGTTCTTGTAAATAGTAACAGATGGCGCTGCGTAGAATTCATGTAGAAAAATCATGTAGAACTGTAATTTTGGCTATAGTGCATGTAACTATAAACAGATGGCGATACCTGTGCGGTGTGGCATTCATGTCGTGTTTCCACAGTTTGCTTGAAAACTTTTTAAAAGTTATTGCAATAAAACTACCCACTGAATGGGCTGGACAAATGACTACCAAATGACTACGGAATCGGGATCCAATTCCAAAATTATTTAATTTTTTTTTTTAAAGAAAATTTACGCGTTAAGGTGAATCAAAACAAGAGGGAACTTTGTGAGTCGCTGCTGGGACCGCGACTCTACTTTTATACCCGTGCTCAGTCAGTATATAAATATGTGAGCTTATGATTTATGTCCAATTTTTAAATATTTTATCTGTTTACATTTACATCTGACATCTGCCGTTATTTCCGCTACCTCTGAAGATGCGAAATTCACCTAGTATTTCATGAACGAGCGCATCGTGCCAGGATCATCAATGAACTCTGTTTCTTCCTACAGTAAGTATATAGATACATTATGTATCCTGTGTGGCAAGACTCTTTGCCAGACTATAGGCTAACACTCAGTGGTACGGTACGTTAATCGGGAGCAGAGCTTTCCCCAGGCACAAAGTCAATAAATTCAGTCTGCTCCATCCATCTGGTTGTAGGGCATTTCCATCCAGAAGGGTGTTCCTATGACCATGTTTCACGACAGTCCGAAACGCCCGTAACAAGATATAACAGATCTTGTTGTTTACATGAAAGAAGAGAGTGTTGTGATGGACTAATAAAAGGCGATAGAGATAAAGGTAACAACCAACGTCAATTTTCCTTCTTTGATTCACTCGTAGAAGTGGAATTTCCAGTTGTATGCCCAGTACTCACATGAGAAGTAGTAAATTTGATACAGATTATAATTGTGCTGGCAATCGCGCGGCTTGAATGGAAAACATTTCCGCTGTGTCTATTTTCATGAGGTTGGTATAAAGTCATTTAAAAATGGGGAAAGATTATTATTAACCCAGGACTAGAAATGAACGCACAAATTTCAAATTGCACGAATTATTTCAAATTGGCAGTCCCAAAATTGTACCAAAACGGGAGCATAGCTGTACATAGAGGGATATGAAGGATATGAACCACAGCAGCGCCCGAGAATCCATTTGGGAAAATATTTTTGTGAAAATGTTGGACTAATTTATAACTTTATTACTCCACGAAAGGTGGTGCAGTAGCAGGAGCGGGCTCCAGTATTTTATAAACAGCTGTTGAGAAGGAAGAATACACAGTTTTTCTCTAATAACTTTACTTTTTTGCTCTCCTCATGATTCATTCTGGTTTCGGTGCGATTTGCTCTCGTGGACCTGCAAGTAAAATATAATTATGGATTAATTATTTGATATATTGAGCGATTTTTGGTATTTTCCACTCACAGACTGTGCAATCTTCAGAAGATGATCGAAGCTCGCCCCGCCCGTCTCCATGACCATGCCATAGAAGATTCTACTCTCGGACTGCATTAGAAGTTCGTGTGGAGTGCCGAACTCCACCAGATTGCCGGCATCCAATACCATCACCCTATCCGAATCAATAATGGTATTCAGGCGATGGGCTATGGTCAGGACAGTGCAGTCCCTGAACTTTCTGCGAATGGTGGACTGGATGAGGGCATCGGTCTGGGGATCCACATTCGCCGTGGCCTCGTCCATGACTAGGATGCGGTTTTCCCGTAGAATGGCACGTGCCAGGCAGACCAACTGACGCTGACCAACGCTATAGTTGGTTCCACCCTCGGAGATGAGGCTCTGCAGGCCAGTGGCCATGTCTGAGACTTCCTCCTTCAAATGAACCTAGTCGAGAGAGAGAGAAAGAGAGAGGGTGAAGGAACCAGTGAATGCATTTGCTCACCTCCTCTAGGACCTGCCAGAGCTTCTCATCCGTATACTGCTCGAATGGATCCAGATTGTAGCGCAGGGTGCCGGAAAAGAGCACCGGTTCCTGTGGAATAATCGAGATCTTGCTGCGCAGATCGTGCAGACCAATCTCTGCCGTGTCCTGACCATCGATCAACATGGTGCCATCGGTGTAGGACAATCGGAAGAGTGCATTAATCAGCGTGGATTTTCCCGCACCCGTGCGTCCCACTATGCCGATCTTCTCGCGGGGCTGGATCACAAAGCTCAGCGAGTTCAGTACCCGATCCGTTTTCGGATCGGGACTGTACCTTAGACTCAAATCATCTGCCACAATTTTTCCATCTTTGGGCCAACTGTTCGCCGGCTGCTTGTCAGCAGGGGACTCGAGCTGTCCCTCCGGTTGGAGGTTTCTGTACTCAACCACCCGCTCCACGGAGGTCATGGAGTTCTCCAGCTCGGCAGACTGCCGCATGCCCCACTGAACGGTGCCAGTCATGGACATGGCCTGAGTGATGGCCAATCCAATTTGTCCGGGACTACCGAGTGGGGGATCAAAGTAGCTCGTCAGCGTTACGGATATCACATAGGCCACGCAGAACAGATCCAGATAGTAGCCGAAGGCCCGACTGGTGGAGAGGAACGTATAGTAGCCGGAACTGTGCAGATCCTGGTAGTTGTCGTACTCCCCAATCAACAGTCTCTGGCCACCCAGGGCGCGTATCGTGGGCAGACCATTCAGGGTGGCACTGAAGTGGGAGTACATGGGCGATCTGGCCACCGCCTCCAGGCGCTTCACATCCCGCGAAGTGCTCAGGTAGAAGCGCCTGAGGAAGTGGGAGGCCAGGAACATGAGGAACGTGTTGAGCAAATACCAGGGATTGGTGATGCACAGCACACAGATAATGCCGGCTATGGTGAGGAAGATCTGTACGCAGTCCAGCATGACGGCGGGCAGCACCTCATCCACCTGGCCCAGGTCCATGGCAAAGCGGTTGAGTATGCGACCCGAGGGATTCGAGTGGAAGAAGTACAGAGCCGTGCGGGACACCCCCTGGAACATGGAGTTGTGCAGTTGAGTGGACGAGTGCATGGCCATGCTGAAGAAGAGAAGAGTCCGGAGCAGGGCAAAGATCACGAGGGCCACATTGATGGCACTGAAGTAGTAAATGTCCACCGGAGAAGATTGGTTGTTGCTCGTCTTAACCCTGCGGGTAGGTGGGATTGATTAATGATTAATGAGTGGGTTTGATAGCAGACATCACTTACCAGTAGGAGAGGAAGTAATCGCCACCGGAAGCCAGCAGCTGTGTGCCCAGGCAAAAGAACACGACCAGAGCGAACAGGATCCAGCCAGAGCCAGCGCCAAAGTATTTTCGGTACATGTCAAGACCGATATTACCGCTGGAACGTGACTCCTGCACGGGCAGGACTGCTGGCACCTCCTCGTTGAGTGAGTCCGCTCCACCGGAGTCTACAGAGCTGACACTCGTCCTGCTCTGGCAGCTGCTTTGACGGGAATAGGCGGACTTGCCATCGCCAGCTGCCGCCTCACTGTGGTCTCCATCCGCATTGCGAGTGCTCTTGGCCAGGAGCTGGGCAAAGTCCTGACCGCTCTTCAGCATCTCCTCATAGCTGCCAATGTCTGTGATCCTGCCTTTGTCCATAATCACAATCAGATCGGCCTGTTCCAGGAACTGCAGCTGATGGGTCACCAGAATGACCAGCTGATGCTTGAGGAAGCCACGCATGCACTCCTCAAACAGATGGCGACCCACGTGCGTGTCCACGGCGCTGAGCGGATCGTCCAGCAGGTAGATATCCGCCCTGCGGTACACGGCTCTGGCCAGACTGATCCTCGCCCGCTGGCCGCCTGAGAGGGAGGCTCCACGCTCGCCCACCATTGTCTGATCGCCCTGCAGCAGCTCGAAGTCGCGCTCCAGGGCACACTTTTGGACCACACGACGGTAACGATGCTTGTCCATTGGCAGGCCGAACAAGATGTTGTCCCGCAGGGAGGCGTTAAAGAGCCAGGGCTCCTGCGAGGCATAGGACACTCTGCCCTGGAGTTTCACGCCACCAGACTCGGGCGGCAGCTCGCCGAGTATAGCCTGGATGAGGCTGGATTTCCCCGAGCCCACGGGACCAATGACGGCCACCAGTTGCGGACGCTTCAGGCTCATGCTGATCTTGTCCAGCACCGGTTCATTGTGCTCTGGGCTCCAGCGTGCGGTCAGAGTCTCAATTTCGACCATAACTTCGGTGGGCTTCTCCTTGGCATCGCCCTGAAGCACTGACTTCGTCTCGTCGCGCATCAGGAATGCTTGGATTCGACGCAATGTGACCATCAGCTCGGCAAACTGGGACATGCCGCTGGGAAAGAACTTGCTGACAGTACGCCTCAGGATGTTGTAGAAAGCCGTGACCACAAAGGCCTTCTCCGCCGTGAGCTCTCCACCCATCAGGACGTAGCCCAAGAGGCTCACAAAGATTGCACACCGCCCGAGAGTAATCTCGAAGGACAGCAGAGTGCCGCGGATGTAGTTCACCTTGCGAATGGAGCTCATCTCGCTGCGGCGCAGCTGCTCGATCGCCTTGCCAAAGGGCCGCTCCCAGGTGTACATCTTGATCACCTGTATGCCGGATATGATCTCGTTCATCATTCGCACCCGCTGGTCCGTTCGCAAAGCGGTCTGAAGACGCAGCACGGAGGTCAGTCTGCTCAAATAGGTCTGCACCGGCAGATAGAGCAGGAGTATGCCGATCCCATAGAGCGAGGCCAGGCCAATCTGCTGGTACAGAAAATAGGAGGCAACCAGCAGCTCCAGCGGTCCCAGCCACAGAAAGTGGAAGTGTATCAAAGCCCTATCGAAGCGACCCAAATCGTTGGATATCAGATTAACCACCTGGCCGGTTGTGGTATCCCCCAGAGCAGTGCGACTCAGGCGCAAGGGCCTTGCGATAGATGGCACTGCCCACGGCTACCCTCATCTTCAAGGCCAGGTGCTGTACGGGAAGGAATGTAGGAATCATCAATGAAAATTTACAGTTGAGAGCTGTTCATCTGGGGGCGACTCACCATCATGCCCATCATATAAGGGTGAGTCAAGAGGACGCTGGTCAAGGTGGTGATTATCAGGCCGATTCCATAGAGCTGTGCTCTCAGTCCATCGCCATTTCCATGGGCCGTAAACTCCGATATCAATGCGCCCAGCAATAGGGGTGCAGTGGCCCTGCATTGAGACATGTTTTATATAAGAATCTATAGAACGAGCACAACTTGCCTGGTTCCAAGTTCCAGGACTCCAATGATCAGACCGGAGCCCAGCAATTGCCAGCCGAATACGCGAAGGATCACTTTGATGATGCTCGGCTCTTGGTTGGGCCTCCCACGGCGACACGCTTCCACTTCGGCCTGCCATGTCTCGAAGAATCTGTCGCCCAGACTATCCGCTCTGTGTCCTTTGAGGGCCTGATAGAGATCCGTGGGTTGAAGGGTCTTTTTGCGGCCCTTGAAGAGAATGGGCAGAGCAAAGCTGTCGTAAGATATCAGGAGAACGTATTATTTCATGTATATAGGAAATGTTTGGGCTGAGATATCATGTAGGTTGATTACAAATCACGATAAGCAGATGGGACAGCGTTATCAGAAGAATTATCGCTGAATTTTACGTGATAGCTGGATGATGATGCCAACAGCTGCAAAGTCTATTATAAAACATACCAAAACATAAGCGAGGACAATAGTCCTGCCGATTCACGAGGATTCGGTGGGAGTTTATCGGCCTGCATAGTCTATATAATTATTTTTTTTTGGAAATTACTGAAAATATCACACAGGTCCTCTCATTCAACTTTATGGATTTATTTAGTATCTCCCGATTCTGGTTTTACTTCGAAAATTAACTTCAAAACTTTCCATGCATGAATCGCAAAAGAAAACTTCAGATAAAAGCGTCTGTATGGCTTCGCTTTTCAACTTGTTCTGGACCAGACACACTTCAAAAGAGCGATAAAGTACACGGAATATTTCTCACCTATATGACGTCGTTATCTCAGAGATAATCTTCTTTACTTTAAGCTGGCAACAAAACACAATATGTGTGGGTTTTCATCAGATGGTTAAATGATAATTAATATGCTTGGTTGTGGGTGATGACGATGGGAATGATCCAAAAATCCAAAACCAAAACGACCCTCAAAAACGACAGCAGGCGAAATTGGCAGCCCCATTGGCGACACCTGCGCCAGCGTCGGCTCCCATTTGCACTGATGCCGAAGCCAATACAACTCATGCCACTGTCCTGGTCGACTGCAACTCCAATTTGGGGGAGAGTCCACTACGATATCGGTCCCAATCGTGGGCACCAATCCTAAGGGGAAATTTGGCGTACTCATCATTCATTGTCGGGGAGCACTGGAAAGGCGTCCCCATATGCAATGCAGATCATGTAAGATCTACATAATGGTGCTGAGAAATCGCTAATCGATCTTGAATAATACACCGCAGAGACAAGGAAACAGACAACAAAGGGCTAGAAGGGTGATGAACGTCCCCTCGATGGCTGTCCAGCGAGGGATCTCCTTCACGGATGCGTCCAGGCTTAATCAGCACCAGCAAGCATGGCACCCAGGACGCCAACAGAATGCAGGACTACAAACGGCTCCAATAATTTCCTCCTACGAGGGCAAAATTTGGTTTGCTTTTTCGCTTTGACTGAAAGCGATATGGGGCGCACACATTTTAATGTATTCTTATGCGTTTAATTACAAAACTTTTAATGGACCGGAATCACTATATCCAACCCCACCTGGGGCAATATGCATAAAAAGAGCTGGTACGCGTTGTCACAGGCAGAAGATGAATGTCGATCGAAAGCACAGTCATCTACAGCCCGTTCAATTTCGTCTTTGTTGTAACGGTCTTGGTAAAACTCCTTCACATTTTCTTTAAACACAATATTGCCCTTTGAATTCACTAACCCCAATACCATGAAGGAGCACAAGTGGTAACACTTGAACGATAACGGGGCCACTGGCGTGTACATCTCTTTTTGTTTAGCCAGTTCTTTATCTGCAACCGTCACCCCGTTTTCTCTTTCGCAGATTTCCAAACTCCTGAGTATTATTTTTTCCAGGTCCAATACACCCTGGTGATCAGCTAGGCAGCCGATCAGCAGAGTCAATGCCACCAGAGTCAATGCCACCATAGTAGTCCTCATTCCGATTAGTAATTCCGTTCTTTAATAATCTCTCGCTCGGCCTTGCATACGATTTTATAGCAAGTGCTGCACTCTCGTGTCTAACAGAATATGCCAAGCCTTTTGTTCCACATTATCCGACGCGAATCAATAATGGACCAAGGTCTGATTTTCGCGATCCGAATTTAAGTATCTTGATCAGACATGGTCCGGTTTTTACTTTCGCAAAAATATTTACTTTTGAAACGGGAAAGTTGCGTAATCCCGTTTAGCAAAATGCAACATTTTTCCCATTCAGATTAAGGATTACGATTAATTTACAATTTCACTTTGCGCCCCAACTTACAGAATTGTTATTTATTCTTGTTTTATTGTTATTCAAGGCCGAGAAAAAAATGTGAGCTCCAAGGCCAAGGCCAAGCAAAACGAGAAGGAACGTGTAAGTCGCTTCTGGGGACGCGACTCTACTTATGCCCGTACTCAGTCAGTATATACATTTTTTAGCAAATGATTTTTTAGAATAAAAAAAATTTTTTACATTTTAAATTTTTTTGCTACATTTGTTATCTACATCTTCAATGTATATTATACATCTAACATGAAGATTATACATGTACCATTTAAATTCTACATCTTCTCTGGCAGCGGGCACTCGCGTTCATAACGAGCCAGAGTGGGCGAGCGAGAAAGAGAATGAGTAGCACGGTCTCTTGCTGCAGGAGGTGGGGGAAGCAACTGAAAACTAATTTCTTCATTCTGGCTATAATTATGATCTGATCTGATTCAGATTCAGCAATCTGATAGATATGGCCATATTCTACGATGCTGCGTATCTTTAAAATTGTGTCTGCAACAAATTTTTGTTCTTTGTGTGGGCTGAAGGGGGCGGGGCAAAATTTTGAAATACACTTGTAGCAGTGTGATGTCACATGAGTCTGGAAACGAAATTTGGTTGCTCTGGCTCTTTTAGTCTCTGAGATCTAGGCGGACCCCGGTTCTTTCGGCGCATAGCGCTGCTCGTGTCACGCCGGAGACGTTCGGTATCACCGATCCTTTCCATATATATATGTCCGGGAACCAATTAGAAATTTGCTATTGTCGTCCGAGACATGACCAACAGTCCCGACCTGAAACAAAATAAACTTAATATTTGCTCCACGCTGCGGAAAAATGTATTTTCATATAAATCTTTTACTGCGAACGCCACTGAAAGCAAATACGCCACTATCACAAAGCTATAAAACTATATACTAACAAATTACATACTCCGATATTATCGACCGGGAGTATAGATATATCGTTTGTGTTTGATATCGAAGTTTTGTCATAGCAATGCAAGAAATTTTGCAGCACATCGCAAACGACTGAAAAATAGCCCGTGTTAAAAAAAACCAAAACGACCTTAAAAACGACAGCAGGCGAAATTGGCAGCCCCATTGGCGACACCTGCACCAGCGTCGGCTCCCATTTGCACTGATACTGCCACTGTCCTGGTCGACTGCACTCCAATTTTGGAAAGAGTTGACTACGATATTGATCCCACTCATGGGCACCATTCCTGGTCGCCATCACCATATCCGCCATTGGCGGTTTGACTAATTGCACGTCCCCGCTGGAGAAGGAAAAAAATGCAATATCCTGGCTCCTGGCATAAATGCCACCTTAATCATTGCCACTAACCAACCATACAGTATATATGTAGATGTGCCAGTTCATACAACGAAAGGGGCGCAGCTGAGTTTTCTGTCCCAGATCCCAGGCGCTTCGGCTCTGTGAGGCTGCGACATTCGGGTCGGGAGCTGGGCCGTTCGGCATGTATGACTCATGTCGAGAAGCGAAAGCAAGCTGAGCATTGCAAATGTGTGTGTGTAAACAGACACGACAACATTTTTATCAATTCTTATTTTCCGAAACCGTTTTGAGTTTGTTTTGAGTTTCGTTTCCAGGTTACGTAAATGTGTGTGTGCCATGTATTCAGACATACTGTGCTTGTGTGTGGGCTCTACAATTTTTGGCCGCTTGAATTGGTTTTTCGTTTTGTTTTGAGGGCTGATGTGATGTAGCGACCTGTGTTGACCTGCCGCAATATAACTGAGGAATGGGCAGAGTGGGTGGGGGCGGGAAATAAATACAATATATAAAAATAAAGGATGCTATCTCTGCTCATATCTCCTTAGCTCATATTATCTTGAAAATTAGATTCGCTAAAGCTCTGGAAAATGATCTACTAGATGTGTACATTTATTTTATTCAAAGCGTTCATAAAATATTTTTTCGTTTTGTTTTGAAAAGCTAATGGGCGCGCGTGGTATTTCTTCCATTCTCTTTTAGGTTAGCCTTTGCCTCTGCCTCTGCTTTCGGCTTCGTCAATGCCTCGACCCGCGTCGAGTCGAGCGACAGAATACGCCAACAAAATATGAGATCTGCCCATTGGGAACAAAGGAACGCGATCAGGTACCAAATGTACAACCCTTTTTCGTTTGCTTTGTTCCCGATTGGCAGCTTGGCCCGCAACCTTCCAAAAGGTATATATTTTTTTTTTTTCTTCATTTTTTTAGGTTTGGTTAACGAATTTTAGCTCCAAAGTCGCTCCATAGATTTTAATGAGCGATACCTTAAACGACGCCAAATTAATGCACCTATACACAAAAAAATAGAGGACACAGGATATAATTTGTTTTCGACTTTTCCTGAGTTTTTAAAGTCAAAATTTCGTAAAAAATACCGCACAAAAATCATAATTATTGCATTTCAATGCTTTATATTTCCCAGACGGTAAGCTGAAATCACAAAGTGTTTAACTTCTAGCTGTTTCAATTATCTTTTAAAAATAGCAAAGGTCTTTACAACCAGACGTAAGATACTAGAGTTATGCGCTATGCGAGTCAAGCGCTACCTCTGAAAATAGCTTAAAAAAATACCAGACTTCAAAAATACTTCAAAAAAAAGTTCTGCCATAGATAAAAAAAATATCATCAAACCATTTCTAAGCCCCAAATCTTTAAGAAAAAGTTCGTTTTGTTCCTTGAGGAAAAATCGTGTTGACTAGTGTTATCAGAGAAAATTTAAGAAATTTCTCAATTACAACAAACTCTACTGGAGAAGGTAATCCATAAGCAGGGTCCATGGGTAGATTTAATATCTGAATTCGCATTACAAGCAAATGGAGCAGGAAACAGCTGCCCCTTTAATATCTTTTGCATATTGACATATGATAAATTTGGTGCAGTTGTTGGAATACGGCACCCGAGAGTCATTTGATTTCACTCTGAGCTCCGCCGTAGTAGCCTCCTCTAAAATGTTTCGGAAGACACCACTCTTCCATCTTCTTTTCTTTTCCTTGTAAAGGAAAAGATGGTAAACCGTACATATTTCAGTCATGGCAGTATTTCAGCCATTTAGTGGCAGTATTTCGCCATTTGGTGGCAATATTTCAGCCATTTAGTGGCAGTATTTCGCCATTTGGTGGCAATATTTCAGCCATTTAGTGGCAATATTTTAGCCATCTAATGGAATAAAAGCCATACATTCTACTCCAATGGCAATGATTTCAGCCAGTAGATTGTAATATATGCCAATTATTCTATGTACAAATCGCACAAAGCTTCGATATCCTCGTTCGAGTAACGGGACTCTTACCAAAGGGCTTTGGTTCAAGAATTCTTCCCTGCACTTGTGCTTGAATGCATAACACATTTGCGTACAGAAGCCGCACTGCGGGCAGACAAAGTCTTTTGCAATGTCTTTGCAGGCCTCTGCGTGTTTATAGAACTTTTCATTCGAGACATGGCTTTTTTCGAACAATAGTCACACGTGTCAGAATGTTCACGGGCTGTCCGAAATCCCTCCGGCATATCATACCCCCGCGGTGGGGTATAGATGAATTCATTCACCCCTGTACGCTCCACACACTGTCCTGGCAGCCGGAGGTCGGGCACCGGCTTTATAGGATTGTAAATCCATGTATGTCTTCGAAAAGGACTGGGGCTGAAACCTGTTCCGGAGCCTGGACCGGAGCCTGTACCGGAGCCTGGACCGAGCTCGAGCTTTGTCCCACTGAATAATTATGCGCGGAACTATTCGAATAGTGCATATTTTGCACTCGGATGCTAGCTCTCGGAGGGACATTCGCGGTCGAGTTCGCCAAGGGATTTGAAGAGCGGCCGAAAAGTCGCGAATTTCCAGACGGGAGCGCCTGTTCGGGCTCCCCGTCCTCGACGTCCACTGCAGGCTGGAGCGCCTGTTCGGGCTCTACAGCTTCGGACAATTCAAACCACCCTGCATATTTATCTATTTTGGATGTTAAAAAGATACATTTTTGGACTATGGTTTTTTCAAATGGAATTCGTGAAACTTGTTTGGAAATGCCGATTAAAAATATCAAAATGAATTTTAACTAATGTAAAAAAATCGTCTGAAGGAGCTTGAAGTTTTAAACTACTACTGACAGCCAAAATTTTTGTTGATTATTAAGCACTCAGAAGAAGATCGGACCTCATCGGACGGTTTTAAAAGCTCAGAGCATTTTTTGCATTCGTACCTTATGCAATAAATACCCTGCATAATAACGTAATGCATTCTCATTAAATTCGGCTTTGATACCTAAATCTGTTTCTTCTATTGCAAATTCTAACTCTGAGTTCTCGTCAGTTGACATGAAGTCGACGTCATCAAGAGTTTTGAAATCTGACGCCGATTGACTTTTCTCAACATCGTTGACAATGTTAAGCAACATAGTATCATCGTCGGGAGAACAGTTCCCAGATACTGAACTAGACGTTAGAACTTTCATAAAAAGCATTTTACTAATAGTCGCATTAAACTCATACATGGTTGGATTGTTATTATTGACTCCGCGAGATCTGATTAAATAAAAGAGATTTTCTAACGGGTCTTGATTTAATTTTGATGTTGCAATAAAGAAAAGTTCAGAGCTTTCACTCCAAACATTTTTGGCCAGTGCATGTATAGATTTGATTGTTAAAATCATACCCTTTATACAATACACTTCTTGTGGATACTTGAATTCTTCGAAATAATTTCGCATTTCCAACAGGGTCTCATTGACAACATTTTTTTCTTGCAGTGCACTCCTGAATGGGTTTTTATCATAGAGAACATGACTATTAAGACAGTCAAATAGTCTGTTCATTTTTTCTATGAATGTGGCAGTCGCTTCTGCACTTTCTTTGCACTGTGAGAACCCTCCAGAACTAATCATAGTTCGTAGAGCAGCGGCTACACTATGGCTAAACACTTGAGTGGCATATTTTACCTTCATTTTTTCAAAATTATTCGGATTAATATGCTTTGGTGATAATTTGGGACAGAGTCGCGTTGAGTTTTTGGAGTCGATTTCATATAATTCCTCGACTACTTTCCATGAAACAACGCCATCAGGGGTATCGAGATTTCTTTTACGGACGATGTTCCTCATCGATTTAATCAAATGTGGAACATCGTAAATCGCAAATATCTCTTTATATTGAACATTAAATCTGGGGCTTTTAATGTCAACTCCCAATCTTCTAAAAACAGCTCTATTATTAGACCCCTGGTCGCAAATAGCTGCTCTTATATTAAGCCCTAAGGATTGTGCTTGCTCAATATTAGCCGTCACCTTTTCCATAAGGGCTTCGTGTTTTATACCGGTGGCAGAAACAGTATAGCTTAACACGTATTTCCAGTTTTCGAATAAGCCTCTAATCATGAAAACACAGACTTGCTGATCACATAGATCTGCATTAAATGAAGTTAATAAAGTATTTTCAGACAAGTTTAATGTTGGAATTGCTTTCGACTTTAATCGATTGTTTCCTAACCACTCGGCCTCAAAATGCCGATCGCAAATTCGTGAAGTTGCCTTCACCAAATTGCTATCCAAACTACAAGCCTCAACCCATTTATTGAACATTAATGAATTCGATGGAAATCTAAATAATGTCACATGGAAATCCGGCGAACTATTTCTATACCCTCTAAGGCAGGAAGAATTAATGCATTTCACCCCGCTTTCTCTTATGTGTATTTGACTATCGGACGACATAACTAATTAAAAAAAAAAAAAAAAAAAACAATGTAGGTGCTAAATAACTGAATAAAATTGGAAAATAATATAACGAATATGAAATATAAAAAAGAATATAAATATTAAGAAAATATTAAGATATATATCACCAAAAATGCAGCAACGGCGCACTACGGACGGACTCCAAGCACACACACGCATTCACTCCACGCACACACTCGCCGAAAAGGGGGATGCAGGTCCCTAGATATTCCCTTTCTTCGATCACAATCACAAAAACACTCACTCACACGTGGATAAGCACAAAAGGGTCTCTTAGTCCTATTAGAATATGCTTTATCCAACAACAAAAATTCACTCTTAATGTAGTCCTACTAGCATATACAGCATATATAAACACTCAATCACACTCGGACAAAAAAAAACGGTTAGAAGTTAATTTTTAAACGTATAAAGAATGAATTATAAATTGGAACGACCAACCAGCGGAAAATTCGGCTCACTTGTGTCTTTCTCATCAGATTCGCCCGCGCTTTCAATCATGCACCCATACATCCCTATACATCCACACATCAAAATACATCCATACATCCAAATACATCCCCATACATTCCCATACATCCATGCATACACACCATGCAATTGCGCGCCCTTTGGGTTGCCATCTAACACCAAGAAAACTGTAATTTTGAATACCCCCATTCTCGGATATAGCCTTGACCTCGGCTTCGACTTTCATAAGGCTGGACTGCCTTGAAAAGTTTAGCAGTTTTTTTCAGATATTCTTAATACTCTCTGCACACTGAGTCCATCCTGGGGGAACGGTGGGAATTTTTGAAAGATGTGAAACACCGATTCACATTGACACCATCCACCATCCATGAGAAACAGCTGTTGCTCACAATTGCGTGCGGTTAAAATTTGTTTACTTTAATTAAAATGAATATAAATAACATTTCAATGGTCGTGAATGTGATTCAGCAGCAAAACATATTCTTGCACAAGCTAATCATGTTGTTGGACATGGACGATGATGATGAGGATAACTTTGACTAGGAGATAATAGAATGGATATCTGTTTTGAAAACACTGAAGCCCGGAAGGTTGTGGTCATTTGAGAGTGCTTCTAATAAATGTAACCAATGTTTAAAGTACAAATATATATGTTATGTTTTTCAGAAGCGGTTCGGTACATTTTGGGAGAAGGATGTACCCGAAAACAACGAGGCGTTTTTTAAGGAGAGTTTTAGGATGGAGAGATCCTGCTTTTCTCTGTTGGTTACTCGCTTGGAAGTGCAACGGAAGAAGGACACAAACTGCCGAGCTGCAATTCCTCTGGAGAAGCGTCTCGCCATATCTTTATATACTTTGGGATCTTCTTCTGAGTACCGAACAGTCGGTAGGCTTTTCGGAGTGTCAGCCAACAGCGTCTGCAATATCCTGCATGAGTTTTGCAGAGCATTCATCAACGAATTCTCAGAGGAATACATGTCCAAAAACTATCTCACTTCAGAGAAAATTGACGAGTGTGTCCAAGGATTTGAAGAAATTGGGTTTCCTCAGTGCCTAGGTGCAATAGGTAATAATGCACTAAAAGCATCCATAATATATGTATATACATATATGTAAATTAATTTCATCACTTAATTTTTATGTTAGATGGATGTCACATCGAAATAAAACCACCTGCAGCTGAGGTAGTCGACCACCACAATTACAAAGGCTGGTATTCAACAGTATTATTTGCAATGGTAGACTACAGGTAAGATATTCGCACCTAAACAAATATTTTCAAGCTATTTTCTTAATTATTAAAATATTTAATTTCAATCTACTTCAGATATAGATTTACGTATGTAAACATCGGATCCGCAGGAAGATGCAACGACTCGATGATTTACCAAAAGTCAAGCCTTGGAAAGCGTATCGAAGAGTCGCCATTGCTTGAGGAAAAATCGAAGGAAATTAACGGAGAAATGGTGCCAGCAACGCTGATTGGGGACTCGGCATTCAGATTCTCAAAGAAGCTTATGAAGCCATACCCTTTTTCTACAACAGCGTCTTTAGAACAGCGCACTTTTAATTACAACTTTTCCAAAGCTAGGCGAGTTGTGGAAAATGCTTTCGGGCACTTAAAAGCCAGATTCCGCATTATTGGAAAAGGCCTGGATAGTCATTATAAAAACAATAGTGCCATTATATTGTGCTGTTGCATTTTACACAACATGTTAAACTACCTTTAAGTGAGCAGAGAGAACAGCCCGATCGCAGCAATATTTCTGCTGATTATAATCATTCAGCAGAACAGATACGATCTGCAATTGCAACATATTGTGTGAATAGAATAAATTTAAATAATCAGTTTTATTTATTTATTATAATTACTTAAATTTAAACAGACAAGAAATTTATTATAAAAACGTACTACTGCTGTTTGTTTTCTCTTAAAAATTGCATGAAGTCAGTTTGAAACGTCGTCTGGGTTCGGATCAGCTCCTCGAGGAGATACTCCTGCCTCTTGTGGTGATCCTCCTGCTTTTTATGGTGATCCTTCTGAGCAGCTAGGCGCTCTCTGTTCACCTCTACGAGCAGAGCCACTACGCTATCCAGCTTGGTGCGCTTCTGTGGGGGCCCATTGCTCACAGAGAGTGCGCTGGAGCTGCAGGATCCGTCTAGGTCCACCTCGATCACGTCCGAAAAAAACTCCTTAATATCTGCAATGAACATAAGCCCCTCCGCTTGGCCCCACTTTATTTTTTTCCATCCTGCAAAGTATGAAAATAAAATGGAATCAACAATTTATTGTTTACCAAATACAATAATATTTACCTGTATTTTTTGGTCAAGTTTTCAACCTTCGTTCGTACTTCTGTCCATCCTACATCGAGATCACACCCCTCCTTCATGGTCTGGGCCATCTCCATATAAACGTGGGAGTTCTTACGGACTCCCCGCAAATCGTCTATATTTTCTTGCCACAGGTCAATGAGTAGGTTCTCCATTTCTGTGATCCACTTGACCCTTCCACTGGCTATTTTCTTATGTGCTGCAATATTGTGATATATGGGTATTCAAAAATGATATCTATTAAACTTACCACCGCCATTTACTGCTCCTTCCATTTTTATTTGATATTTTTTTTATTTTTTGCGTGCTTTGTGAGATCTGATGGGGTTATTTTGTTTTAATTTTATATTTTCCTGCCTGTCATTGTTTAAATTTTCGTAGTGATCTCCGATTTTTTGTTGTGAAATGGTTGACACAATGGTTTGACAATTATCGAAAAAATACCGCACTGAAACGTGAGAATTAGGAACATCCCAGATGGATGGTGGAATAATTGGGAAATATTCGGAACGGCAAAACCTTACGGACCATTCCAGAAATGGATGGTGGATGGTCCCCAGTGTGAAAAGGCTATTAGAGTGAAAGCTCTGAACTTTTCTTTATTGCAACATCAAAATTAAATCAAGACCCGTTAGAAAATCTCTTTTATTTAATCAGATCTCGCGGAGTCAATAATAACAATCCAACCATGTATGAGTTTAATGCGATTATTAGTAAAATGCTTTCTATGAAAGTTCTAACGTCTAGTTCAGTATCTGGGAACTGTTCTCCCGACGATGATACTATGTTGCTTAACATTGTCAACGATGTTGAGAGAATTCAATCGGCGTCAGATTTCAAAACTGTTGATGACGACGACTTCATGTCAACTGACGAGAACTCAGAGTTAGAATTTGCAATAGAAGAAACAGATTTAGGTATCAAAGCCGAATTTAATGAGAATGCATTACGTTATTATGCAGGGTATTTATTGCATAAGGTACTGAAAAAGTACGAATGCAAAAAATGCTCTGAGCTTTTAAAACCGTCCGATGAGGTCCGATCTTCTTCTGAGTGCTTAATAATCAACAAAAATTTTGGCTGTCAGTAGTAGTTTAAAACTTCAAGCTCCTTCAGACGATTTTTTTACATTAGTTAAAATTCATTTTGATATTTTTAATCGGCATTTCGAAACTAAGTCTCACGAATTCCATTTGAAAAAACCATAGTCCAAAAATGTATCTTTTTAACGTCAAAATAGATCCGATCCGTGCTTTGCGCACCGAAACCATCTGCTCAATCAGTTTGTTTTGATTTTGATTAGGAAAAATTGTAAATGGCTTACAGATAGGATGATAGGGAATCAAAATACAAAGTCATATGAGAGAAAACTCAAAATAATGCGGCAGTAGGATTTTGATAGGACAGGATTGTATAGGATAGGATAGGACACACCGTGCTAGCGTGTTGCGTGTGGTAGGCGCCTAAGCCTAGTGTCGGGGTTCCACAGCTCCAGATTGGATTAGACAGGATTATATAGGACAGGATAGGATAGAACAGCATAGGATAGGCAGGCGTGTGGCAGGCGCTTAAGCCTATTGGCGGGGACAGGATAGGATAGGCAGGCGCGTAGCAGGCGCTTAATCCTAGTGGCGGGGCTCCAGAGTGGATTGTATAGGATAGGTTCTGATAGGAGTGGCTTTCATAGGAGATTCGAATAGGAGAGGATTCTATAGGAGAGGTTCGGATAGGAGAGGTTCGAATAGGAGACGATAGGATAGGCTTCGCAAGCCGTTTCGATTGATTAAACTAGCAAGTTGGTTTATTCTTCAGCTGGATTCGACAGATCGACCATCCAGTGCGAGCCTGGCCTCCTGAAGCAGCTTGTTCGCTGTTTGTCTGGGGAGGAGATTGTGTTTGCCGTCAGTGTTTCCAGGTATGCTTTGCGCAGTTCTGGGACTGATTCGGTCGGTAGATCTCCGTCAATCTGTGCGAGGATGTCTTCGAGGTCTTCTTCTGGTGTTGGCCACTCCGATTTGTGTCTGACCTCTATCAGAACCTTCTCGGATATAGCCCTGACCTCGGCTATCTCGCCCACTTTAATAATTTTTTGTGTGGGCCTGTTACCGACCAGTACGGCTGTAAATATAGCCAATTAAAAAAACCGAAAACTACGAATTGAAATGGACGATAGAAAAATTCTCCAGCTTTTCAATTTCGACGGCAGCAATGTCGGCGTTGCTGCCTCACGCGCGCGTTTCGCTGTCGCTGAGACAGCAATGGGCGTTTTGGACGCGCTAGGTGATGAAGTCACCAGGCAGAACAGGAGGATTGCAGAATCCCTGTTTGAAAATGCGAGAGCACAGCTTGACTGTGCTCTCTTGCTCGTCAATGCAGGCGAAGCTGTCGAGGCCGAACAGGCGCTCCAGCCTGCAGTGGACGTCGAGGACGGGGAGCCCGAACAGGCGCTCCCGTCTGGAAATTCGCGACTTTTCGGCCGCTCTTCAAATCCCTTGGCGAACTCGACCGCGAATGTGAACGAGTTCACCTATACCCCACCGCGGGGGTATGATATGCCGGAGGGATTTCGGACAGCCCGTGAACATTCTGATACGTGTGACTATTGTTCGAAAAAAAGCCATGCCTCGACTGTAAATTGCTATATACACGCAGAAGCCTGCAAAGACATTGCAAAAGACTTTGTCTACCCGCAGTGCGGCTTCTGTACGCAAAAGGGTTATGCAGTCAAGCACAAGTGCAGGGAAGATTTCGCGAACCGAAAGCCTTTGATAAAATTTCCCGAAGTGTCCCGTTTCTCGGGAGAGGATATCGAGGCTTTGTGCGATTTGTACATGGAATAATTGGCATATATTCCAATCTACTGGCTGAAATCATTGCCATTGGAGTAGAATGTATGGCTTTTATTCCATTAGATGGCTGAAATATTGCCACTAAATGGCTGATATATTGCCACTAAATGGCTGAAATACTGCCAATAAATGGCTGAAATATTGCCACTAAATGGCTGAAATACTGCCATGACTGAAATATGTACGGTCTACCATCTTTTCCTTTACAAGGAAAAGAAAAGATCGCTGAAGATGGAAGAGTGGTGTCTTCCGAAACATTTTAGAGGAGGCTACTACGGCGGAGCTCAGAGTGAAATCAGATGACTCTCGGGTGCCGTATTCCAACAACTGCACCAAATTTATCATATGTCAATATGCAAAAGATATGAAAGGGGCAGCTGTTTCCTGCTCCATTTGCTTGTAATGCGAATTCAGAGATTAAATCTACCCATGGACCCTGCTTATGGATTACCTTCTCCAGTAGAGTTTGTTGTAATTGAGAAATTTCTTAAATTTTCTCTGATAATTTGCCAAATTATCTTTGCTCATATCTACTAAACTAATATTATATTGAAAATTAGATTCGCTAAGCTCTGGAAAATGTTCTACTAGATGTGTACATTTATTTTATTCAAAGCGTACATAAAATATTTTTTAATTTTGCCACCTCTTTTCGCCTGAGTCCCCAAAGTAAATACACACAGTACAAACAAATAACAACTTTAAATTTTAAAGTTTAAAACCAAAATCGACCTATTCAGGGCCGGATCAACCCACAACCTGGCACTGGGCAACCATCAATCTTGGGGCCCTCCATTTTTTCACGCCAGTTCCTTCTTTTTTCATTTGAAATAAAAACTTATAAATTTAATGTTTGTTTAATTAATTTGTATGTTTATCAGTGGCTATTATATTTTTTATCCATTATTTGGAGTTTTGTTTTTTTAACAAATTTTTCTGTTAGCCCTAGGGGGGCCCTTGGCAACTGCTAGTCCGGCCCTGGACCTATTCCCGTCGCCAGACTTCATATTTTGTTGGCGTATTCTGTCGCTCGACTCGACGCGGGTCGAGGCATTGACGAAGCTGAAAGCAGAGGCAAAGGCTAACCTAAAAGAGAATGGAAGAAATACCCCGCGCGCCCGTCACAACATTAGCTTTTCAAAACAAAACGAAAAAATATTCTATGAACGCTTTGAATAAAATAAATGTACACCAGGGGTCGGCACACAGGACTCACACATTTTTTTTGGTGCGTTTGTGTGCGAAAACAACAGACACGAAGTCAAATACGTTACTTATTTCTCTGCCGCTGCGAAAGCCGAAGAATTGTGCATAGGGCACATGAATGCTTCTCTGCTGCTGAGGCAAGCGAGCAGAATATGAAGCCGTTTGTGCATAGCATAGCCCGAAGCATTTTTCTCTGCCGCTACGTCATCAGGCAGAATAACGAAACCACACGAAGTATTTACGCTGTACGTGTGCCGACTGCGCTGCCGGAAATTTTTTCCTATGCACAGTGCATACGACGCTGCCGGCCTCTGATGTACACATCTAGTAGATCATTTTCCAGAGCTTTAGCGAATCTAATTTTCAAGATAATATGAGTTTAGGAGATATGAGCAGATATAGCATCCTTTATTTTTATATATTGTATTTATTTCCCTGCCCCACCCACTCTGCCCATTCCTCAGTCGAAGCGCCTGGGAGCTGGGATGGAAAACTCAGCTGCGCCCCTTTCGTTGTATGAACTGGCACATCTATATACTGTATGGTTAGTGCCCGTACTCAGTCAGTATATACATTTTTGAGCTTATGATTTTTAAGAATTTTAGAAAACAAAAAAAAATTTTACATTTTACATTTTTTTGCTACATATGCTATCTACATCTACATATACAATGTATATTCTACATCTAACATGTAGATTGTACATGTTCCAATTAGATTCTACATCTCCTCCGCTAGGGGTTGCTCGCGCACTGAACGCGGCAGAGTGTGCGAGCGAGAAGGAAAATGAAAGCAACAGAAAATTCATTTCTTCATTCTGGCAATAATTATGATCCGATCTGATTCAGATTCGGCAATCTGGTAGATATTGGCATTTTCTACGATACTGCGTTTTTAGTTTTATCGTATCTTTAAAACTGTGCCTGCCACAGATTTTCGTCCTTTGTGTGGGCGGAAGGGGGCGGGGCGAAATTTTGAAATACACTTGTAGCAGTGTGATATCACATGAGTCTGGAAACCAAATTTGGTTTCTCTAGCTCTTATAGTCTCTGAGATCCAGGTGCTCATCAAGACGGACAAACGGACAGACGGACGGACAGACGGACATGGCTATATAGACTCGGCTATTGATGCTGATCAAGAATATATATACTTTATGGGGTCGGAAACGTTTCCTTCTCTGCGTTGCACACATCCACTTTTACCACAAATCTAATATACCCCTTAACTCTTTTTTGAGTACGGGTATAATTAAACAAAAAAAGGTAAAAAAAGAATTTAATTCAACTTGCGCAGGGCTTGAATTCGCTTAAAATCGTTTTGCAATCGGCTCATTGTCAGTGTGCACAAAACGCCAATATCGTCCATATCCGCCTTAAAGGAACGGCTTCAGGAAGAGTGGGCTAAAATTGGCCCTGAGTATACGAAAAAAATTATAAAAAATATGCCAAAATGTCTAGCCGATACCATAAAAAATAATGGGTATCATACCAAATATTAGAGTAGGTTTTTTTTCTAGATAAAAAAGGTTTTCTTAATTATATAAGACAATACCAAACATTAAAGTAATGCAAATTTTGAGTTTTTATTTTGTTTCTGTATGTTTTTGCTATTAATTTGAAATAAAACCCTAATATGTTTATGTACCTCTATGAAAAGGTAATATTACAAGCTTTTATAGTTGTTTTTTGTTAGTTTTATACATTTTATTCGCGTTTGAAGTTTAAAAACGAGAAGGAACGTGTGAGTCGCTTCTGGGGACGCGACTCTACTTATACCCGTACTCAGTCAGTATATACACTTTTGAGCTTATGATTTTTAAGAATTTTAGAAAACAAAAAAAAATTTTACATTTTACATTTTTTTGCTACATATGATATCTACATCTACATATACAATGTATATTCTACATCTAACATGTAGATTTTACATGTTCCAATTAGATTCTACATCTCCTCCGCTAGGGGTTGCTCGCGCACTGAACGCGGCAGAGTGTGCGAGCGAGAAGGAAAATGAGTTGTGTTGTTATGAGCAGGAGGGGGCAGGGGAAGCAACAGAAAATTAATTTCTTCATTCTGGCTATAATTATGATCCGATCTGATTCAGATTCAGCAGTCTGGTAGATATGGGCATTCTCTACGATACTGCGTTTTTAGTTTTATCGTATCTTTAAAAATGTGCCTGCCACAGGTTTTCGTCCTTTGTGTGGGCGGAAGGGGGCGGGGCGAAATTTTGAAATACACTTGTAGCAGTGTGATATCACATGAGTCTGGAAACCAAATTTGGTTGCCCTAGCTCTTATAGTCTCTGAGATCTAGACGCTCAACAAGACGGACAGTCAGACGGACAGACAGACAGACAGACAGACAGACGGACAGACAGACAGACGGACAGACAGACATGGCTATATCGACTCGGCTATTGATGCTGATCAAGAATATATATACTTTATGGGGTCGGAAACGTTTCCTTCTCTGCGTTACACACATCCACTTTTACCACAAATCTAATATACCCCTTAACTCTTTTTTGAGTACGGGTATAAAAAGAACCGAATATTAATGTTATCCACTGTAAGGTGTAAGATGCGTAACGCTCATACATTTCAATTGCCATATGCAAGCCAATTTTTCGTCATGCGAAGAAATTCGCGCCATCTCGTTCGCACAAATTTGAGAGCGTACGAATCTAAAAATAGAATCCGCTTGCATGTGTGAGTACACACAGAACCAGAAAGTGCTTATGTGTGCGTACTTGTGCGAAGCGGACGATTTTCGAGACGAATACCTTTTTATGAGTTGAGAAACGAATTTATTTACCGTCGTTAAATACGTCGCACGCTGAAAACCCTAATGACAATTACTCCAATGTGAAGTCATGCATTAAATATATTATGTATTTTTATATATGTATATTCGATCATTATACCGAATCCGAATATACCATCTTAAAATAAATTATCGTTGGAGGGATATATACAATATAACAGTTTTTTAATATTGGGGTGGTAAGCGTCTTGCAAAATTAACTTACGTCGCGACGACTCGGCTCGGCTGTCGCAGCGGCATAGAACCAACTTCGTGTGCCTTCGTATGCTGTATGCATACAAAAGCGCGGCTCGGCAGGCTCTAGAGCGCTATCTCTCTCTCTAAAAAATTTCAAGAGAGCCTGGAGCCAGCATGCAAAAATGTTAGATGTAGAATATACATTGAAGATGTAGATAACAATGTAGCAACAAAATGTAAAATGTACAAATTTTTTTTAATTCTAAAATTTTAAAAAATCGTATGCTAAAAAATGTATATATATATATTTCAAATTATGTACTATAGGAAGTCACCCGTGACTTTCAATATATGTCCATGGGGAAGTCACTCGTGACTCTTCAATATATGTCCATAGGGAAGTCACTCGTGACTCTTCAATATATGTCCTATGTGAAGTCACCAGTGACTGTTCAAAATATGTCTTACAGAAAGTCACATGTGACTCTTTTCATGAAATTAAAAAAATGTCATCGATAATTTCATATAGGAAGCCACATAGACTTCTCATGAATTTCATAATTTCATGAAAAGAGTCACATGTTACTTTCTTTTACAAAAACTTCATTAAAAAACCATTATATTTATTTTAAGTGTCAATATTATTTTTTATTTATTTCTGGTATTCTTCTTTGTGGTGTTATTTTTTACATTTTGGATCGCCTTTCTTATTGATCTATCGGCCGAGTCTATTGGATTTATTTGCTCCAATGCTTCTGAAATTTTATAAAAAACAAATATTTTCTCTTTATATTTTTATGGAATTTGAACATCTGAAGGTAATATGTATTATTTTAAGGTATTTTAAGCTAACAAGTAATATATGATGTATTTAGTCTTACCTTTGAGAATCGAATACAGGCCAACTCTGCTTTTTAGCCGCTTTTTGCCGCAAGTGCCGTCTAAATTGTATGTGTTGATTGTATTCTCATTTACAACACTTTTCAGGCACTTAGAGAGGGTGCAGCTTTCCAGCATCTTCCGAACTTTATTTATCTGTGAATATGTAAAAAATTATGTTTATAAATCGTTTGAGACTATGTAAAATTTGCAAGCTCTTGCAGAAGGTATTATAATTTTAATAAGAAGTTTTTTTTTATGGTACTTACGTAGAAATCTTTTATCTGAGGAGTCAATGACTCCTTAAAACGATCGAGCTCCTCCTCCGACTTTATTGACAAGCTCATAGCAGCCGGGACCTCATCCACCTTAACGCTCACTTTGATAAGGGCGGTGGCTTCTGCGAGCTTCTCCGCCATTACATCTAGTTTTTTCATAAGCACAGCATTTTGTTCACGGAGCAGCTTCATCTCTTCTAAAAATATAAATAATAAATGATTTTGAAAAAGTATAATTTATAAATAAACTGATAAAAATATGGAATGGTAAATAAACATATCTTTTCATATTGAATCCAAATTTTTAACAGTGTTGATTTGGAAACTTACCTCTCAATACGGATATCACCTCATCATTGGGTGATGGCTCCTCTGTAAAAAATATTTTATTAACTGAGGTATTGCTTAAAGGGTATGCAAACTTACCATTGTCATTAAATAGGACACGTCTAATTTTGTTTGTGGGTTCTGACATTCTATAAATAAAAATAAAATTATAAAATAAGGTATAAAATAAATAATAATAATAATCCCTTTTTTTTGCAAATAGATTGCATAACCAAATATATCAACCTCAGCTTATTATTATTATTAAAATGAACTAGTGTCTAAGTTTCAATATTATTTTAAATAAAGCGACGAATTTAAAATTATATATAACCAAAAAAGTGTATTTTCTATTCGTGGTAGCAACCCCTAAACATTACAAGTCAAAATTTTTCTCTAGAACTTTCTATGAAACGGAAAAAATTTTCAACCTTGATTGCTCATATCTCTTAAACATGAATACCGAATATTTTGAAAATTACATTTTCCAAAGGTCTGGAAAATATAAATGAGTTTATTCATTTTATCCAAAGCGTTCATTAAATTCTTTGACTTTTGTCACCCCCTTCCGCTGAGGCTCCTATGTGCGACGCACTCGGCTAACACATTTCTAGAATGTTCTAGACGTATTTTGTGTTGCATTCTGCTTTCTGCATTTTAGATTTTATTAAAACCCAAGTAACACTTAAACTTATGTAGAAACGCGCACTGTTTTCACTTAGTTCACTTACCTGAATTAATTAATCGTGAAACCTGCAAAAAAAACATGGTAGCAATAAGATTAAATTATGGTAGTACCTATATATAAAATTAGTTTGTTTAAATGATATCGCTACTATTATTATATAATAGACTTTAATAACAATTTACTTTTTATTAGGCTACCAAATAATAATAATAATAAGGCTATTGATATAAATTATTGAAGTAAATAATTGCGCTCAAAGTTTAAGAGTATAAAAAAGTAGGTGCGCCATTAAATATTTTTCGGTACTACTTTTTACGAAAAATATGCTTTTGACTCGGGCATAATGGAACAGTGAGAACAAAGAGTGAGAAGGGGCGAGAGTAGAAGAGTGAGAGTCGAACGAAGGCACCCAAAAATTAGAAGTAAGAGGGAGAGGGAAATCTATGGATATCTGCTTCTCTTTCTTACACATCCGTTTCGGTTATACTCTCTGCACACTGAGTCCATCCTGGGGGAACGGTGGGAATTTTTGAAAGATGTGAAACACCGATTCACATTGACACCATCCACCATCCATGAGAAACAGCTGTTGCTCACAATTGCGTGCGGTGAAAATTTGTTTACTTTAATTAAAATGAATATAAATAACATTTCAATGGTCGTGAATGTGATTCAGCAGCAAAAAATATTCTTGCACAAGCTAATCATGTTGTTGGACATGGACGATGAAGATGAGGATAACTTTGACGAGGAGGAGATAATAGAATGGATATCTGTTTTGAAAACACTGAAGCCCGGAAGGTTGTGGTCATTTGTGACTGCTTATACTAAATCCAATCAATGTTTTAAATAAAAATATAAATTATATGTGTGTTGAGAGCGGTTTGGGACATTTTGGGAGAAAGATGTACCCAAAAACAACGAGGCGTTATTAAAGCTAAGTTCTGTACAGCCGTATACTTTGGGCTCTTTGTTTTGAGTAAAGAATAGTCGGAAGGCTGTCAGCCTATAGCGTGTGCAATATCCTGCTTGAGTTTTGCAGAGCATTCATAAATGAGAGGATTCCAGAGGATAGTCCACAAACAGAGTTGTGTATCTGAGACAATTTTGACACATCAGATGTTTTTTTGTTGTTTTTTTACCATTTTCCTGTCTGTCATTGTTTACATTTTCGTAGTGAATTCCGATTTTTTGTTGTGAATGTCAAATATTTATTGTTGCATTTGACAATTATCGAAAAAATACCGCACTGAAACGTGAGAATTAGGAACATCCCAGATGGATGGTGGAATAACTGGGAAGTTTTCGGAACGGCAAAACCTTACGGACCATCCCAGAAATGGATGGTGGATGGTCCCCAGTGTGAAAAGGCTATTAGCAGCAGTGAAGCTTGGAAAAATTCTCTGCTGACGTCGACGTCGTCAACGGCAGCGAAGTCGACGTCGAAAAATTTTTCATATGAATTTTTTCATGAGGTGACTGCCAGAACTGCAGGGTACTGACTGGGGCATAAGTACGGGCATAAGTAGAGTCGCGTCCCCAGAAACGACTCCCACGTTCCTTCTCGTTTGGCTTGGCCTTGGCCTTGGAGCTCACATTTTTTTCTCGGCCTTGAATAACAATAAAACAAGAATAAATAACAATTCTGTAAGTTGGGGCGCAAAGTGAAATTGTAAATTAATCGTAATCCTTAATCTGAATGGGAAAAATGTTGCATTTCGCTAAACGGGATTACGCAACTTTCCCGTTTCAAAAGTAAATATTTTTGCGAAAGTAAAAACCGGACCATGTCTGATCAAGATACTTAAATTCGGATCGCGAAAATCAGACCTTGGTCCATTATTGATTCGCATCGGATAATGTGGAACAAAAGGCTTGGCATATTCTGTTAGACACGGAGGGCAGCACTTGCTATAAAATCGTATGCAAGGCCGAGCGAGAGATTATTAAAGAACGGAATAACTAATCGGAATGAGGACTATTATGGTGGCATTGACTCTGCTGATCGGCTGCCTAGCTTATCACCAGGGTGTATTGGACCTGGAAAAAATAATAATCAGGAGTTTGGAAATCTGCGAAATAGAAAACGGGGTGACGGTTGCAGATAAAGATCTGGCTACCCAAGTAGAGATGTACACGCCAGTGGTCCCGTTATCGTTCAAGTGTTACCACTTGTGCTCCTTCATGGTATTGGGGTTAGTGAATTCAAAGGGCAATATTGTGTTTAAAGAAAATGTGAAGGAGTTTTACCAAGACCGTTCCAACAAGGACGAAATTGAACGGGCTGTAGATGACTGTGCTTTCGATCGACATTCATCTGCCTGTGACAACGCGTACCAGCTCTTTTTATGCATATTGCCCCAGGTGGGGGTAGATACAGTGATTCCGTTTAAATTCCAATAAAAGTTTTGTATTTAAACGCATAAGACTACATTAAAATGGGTGCGCCCCATATCGCTTTCAGTCAAAGCGAAGTAGCAAACCAAATTTTGCCCTCGTAGGAGGAAATTATTGGAGCCGTTTGTAGTCCTGCATTCTGTTGGCGTCCTGGGTGCCATGCTTGCTGGTGCTGATTAAGCCTGGACGCATCCGTGAAGGAGATCCCTCGCTGGACAGCCATCAAGGGGACGTTCATCAACCCTTCTAGCCCTTTGTTGTCTGTTTCATTGTCTCTGCGGTGTAACATTCAAGATCGATTAGCGATTTCTCAGCACCATTACGTAGATCTTACACGATCTGTCGTAGGCTGCATGTTCTCATCTGCAGTTCGAGCAGTAAGGGTATAAAAGTAGAGTCGCGTCCACAGAAGCGGATGCAGTAAATATTTTGCAAAAAGTGCGAATTAAAAATTTTAATTAAATCAAAATTAAAATTTTAAAAAGTAGGAAGGCTTAAAATTTATGGATTTCGATAGCCGATAGAGCGTACATTGGCAAAGCCGCCAAAGCGCAAGTTGTTGTGGCGCCAGTGTGTAGTTTTGTAAAGTGTGCCTATTTTTCAGCAGGTGGCGCAGGTACGTCGAATATCGATAAGCCAATGTGGCTTAATGCGCTGAGCTGGACTAAGATTGAACGAAAAATTTCGAGTGCGAAATAAGGACAATTTTAAAATGTGGTTTAATTCTTCGCTAAACTTGTATAAAACTGAACGAACAAATTTCGAATGCGAAATAAAGATAATATTGAAATGTGGTTTAATTCTTCGCTAAGCTGGTCTAAAACTGAACGAACAAATTTTGAATGCGAAATGATAATTTTATAAATGTGGTTGAATTCGGCGCTAAACTGGACTAAAACTAAGTGTACAAATTACAAAGTTAAGTACTGACAATTTTTAGACGTGGTTTAATTCTTCGCTAAATTCTGTCTCTAAATAATAAAATTCAAAATCGCGCAGCCGATTTTCGCTTAAAAATTTCCGCCGTGTCACAGAATTCCGACCGATTTAATTTTTCTTAGCATTGTCACAAACCATTGTGAACTAAGGCCAGGGCTGACACCTTTCAAAATTCAATTCGAATAGGGTTCATTTTGCAGTTTTATTGATTTTATCAAAACAATTGGTTTTTAATTGTTTTCTTTTATTATATAAAATAATTGATTTTTCAAAGCTGTACTTTTATAATTTCAAAGCAAAAAAAAACTCCCATATCGTGCGAGTCAAACAAAACAATGTACTCGGAAACCCTAGCCTTTTGTCTGGCAACTCTCCGTGCATGGCAGCAATCGGCTGTTAAAAAAAAGACACATCTGAATTTTACGGTAAACTTAATTAAAATGATTTTACCGAGACTGTTGGCCATCGAAGAACTACGGAGGCAACATATTAGAATACAAACCTTGCAGCGCAGGCTTCTCAGATGCGCATCGGACTCGTTTTCACGTTCAGACGATACGTATGTGGTTTTTGTGATTGTCTTCTCAAACTACTGCTAATTTAGTTCATTACAATTACCAGTTTTTGGTATAATGATCGAGCTATGCTTCTATTTGTGCTTCCATGGGTCTGCGCTTAGCCGAACAGGGGTTTTTGACATAAATGCAATGGCAATAATGTGTAGAAATGGTTTCTTAGTTATGTTTTGGCATTTTGAAGCGATGCCACCTGGTAGAACTACAAATGACCACAAATGTTTTCACAATATGCACAAAAAGTATGCACACGTTTGACCTAAAGGAAGTTTTACTACAATAAGCTATTTTTTGTAATACTTAATTAAAGAAAAACAGAATGCTTTCAATATAATTATTATTAAATATATTTCTCCGAATTCGACTTAGAAAAGGCATTACTGTATTAACTTCGACGATTAGGACATCTAATCGCCCTAGGTGGCCACCTCGCTCTGCAGCGGATTGAGAGCGGAATCGTTAAGTGAAAATTTAGTCAGCGGATTGAATAGCGATTTACTTAAATGCTTATTTTATTAACTTAACATGTATTATGTTAAATTATTTGGATGAGGGTTAATGAGGGTTGGATGAAGGTAAGATTCGAATCGTTTTAGGTGTGTTTTATGGGTGTATTTAATCAAATCGCTGGATAAATTGTGAGCGATCGGTGTGTGGCACCGCGGAATGGAATTGAGGTGATTTTCCAGCGGAAGTGATTTCTGTGGCACCCCTGATTAGGTCGACTGTAAAACTTTGTAAATTTGCAAAAGAAAAACACTCAAGCTGATGGACGTAGTAACTATTGCTCACTAAATCTTAGCTTAGCTTTTAACTGAAGCCGATAGGAATATTTATCTAACCCGGCAGTGCTGTTCACCGGAACTCAGCTCATTCAGCTGTGTCCTAGGCAATACGATCCCAGTAATTCTCTACTATAATCCGCAACCACAACCACCAGCACAGTCGATTCCGTAGTGACAGTAAAAATGAGTTGGCTTTATGCTTTATTAATTTTTGTTGCCTCTAACTAGTCGAGGCCTAGGCCGCCAGGCCTCAAGTCCTGTAAAATTTAATTGAGCGGGGTTAGTGGTAGTAGCCATGGAGAGTGAGAGAAAGAGGAATAAATTGGGGCACGCTAGACCACTTCCGCACGCACAGACACATTCGCCTTGGCGCCTTA